GTATGACTGCTATTAGTAATAGTATTCGTAGTAGTTGTAACAGTGGCATTGTGGGTGTGATTAGTAGTGCTCATAGTCTAAGCGTTTATCTGGTTAATACGATTCTTGCGGGTAGTAGCCGTAGTAGTCGTAGTATAACTACCATGAATACTGCTATCCTGAATAATTATAGTATCAAATATTACTATTTCAAGAGGTACTAATATGGGTAGTATTATGAATAACAGAAAAGTACCTCGTATTCGTAATACGTTTCGTATCGTCATTTTTGTTACTACTACGACTGCTCGTCTTATGATTACGATGTTTCCTGCTACTTCTCCTCCTCCATCTCCCCCTCTTCTTGATCCTCTTCTTCCTCATCCTCATCCTCCGCTTCCTCCTCCTTCTCCTGTGCCTCCTCCCCATTTTCCACATCGTCCCAGTCTTCGCCCTCCTCCTCCTCCTCCTCCGCCTCCCCTCCCCCCCCTTACCTTGTTAGCCTTGCGCCTCCTGCTCCTCCTGTTCCTCCCCTCTCTCCCCAAAGCATCCCCCCTGCTCCTCCCTCTACCCCTCTCTCCACCTCTCCCCTGCCTCCTGCCCAACCTCCTCCTCCTCCTCCTCCCGTCTGCAACCAAGCGAACCCCAGCGGGGGCGTCCGATGTCTCAACGTCGATGGGATCTGAAGTGGCCGGTTTGCATGGGGTCGCAGAATGAAAGCCCACAAAGCAACCAATTGCGGCCCCCCTCCCTGGGAAGAGCAGCCATCCGGCCCGGACCATGAAGCACCTATTGTCGAGCAGCCCCAGAGGCGACAAGGATGCTCGCACACTACGCCAGAAGCCCGTGAGCACTCTCTTACGTCATACGAGCCGATGAGCAGCAATCCGGCCAACCGAGCGACAGAGCCAGGCGACAATGGAGACGGTCACTGATGACGAAGACGCTGGTGATGACGATGACGATGACGATGACGATGACGATGTTGATGCTGATGTTGATGCTGATGATCGTGATGATGACGGTGATGAAGAGCATAGGGATGAATATGAACTTGAAGATGAATATGGAGATGATGAAGATGCAGAGAACGATGCAGGTTCAGATGACGATGATGATTATGATGATGACAACGCTGATTGAAGAGGTCCCTAACAAGGCCAATCTCTTCGCCAGCGCTCTCGCTCGTGCCAAAAACAGGTTTGGTATCGCACCTGGCCCTCGTCGTCCCGACGATGTCAGCTCTCTGAACGAACAAAGTATCAAATCGTGACGGAGCAGGCGCACCAACAACTGCTCTCAAAAAATATTCGCGGGCGCATCAACACCAACACAGGCGCACCAACAATATCGGTCATGACCAGGCGCGATAGCGGAATGGCGGAAGCCCAGTACTGGGGAAGAAGGGGCAAAGTACGCTTCAGGACGAAAATCATTACATTGCAACCGAACATATGAATAATGCTATCCCCTTTCTCATGGGCAAAGCCAAGTTTTCAGCACTCGACACTTTGACGCAGTGGTCGGCCAAGCATTGCACACAGACTTCAAATACGCCACTACACAGATGGGGAGAAGCGACTTTAGGAAATACATACCTACTTGAGGAAAACTCTGTCGGACACATTTGGGGGGCACCAAGCATAAAATATCGAATTTGGGGAAGCAGCACGGTGGACCCCACCGACGACTCACGTTTGTTTGAGGCGCATGACGATTTTGTTATGAAAGTGGGTGTTGTCGGGATCGAACTCGAAAAGAGGAGTCACCGTGAGGATCCTGATACTTGCAGCAACAGAGACGCACATCGAACTGTCATGCCACTCACGGAACCTGCGCACAGCAAGGACGTCGCAATCATCATCCTCGAAGAACTGGGAGCCTGTCACGTACTGATAGACTGGAATCCCTCAGAGCGGACTCCTGCGCGAAAGAATTGCAGCACGGATCTCTCTGGACTGACTCCTCGGCTCGTCAGGGAAGCAGATAAACCCTTGAGCGAACGAATCACATCCGCCACTAAACAGTCTGCTCACTCTGGTGCACAGCCGCGGGGACAGGGTAGATATACCACCACGACACCCTTCCGTAAGTTCAGCTGGAGACCCGAGAAGTCCCCGATACTCTGAACAGACTTCCAGACTACGTAAAAGGTCCTGGTGGGGTCGCTGGATGCTTGCCAACATAGCCCATAAAAGCAAGCGTGCGGCTAGACAAGGGCGAGAGGCTGCGGTATGACGATGACGACGATGAGGACATGATGATTATGATGATGACGATGATCATCTTGATAATGATGATGATGCTGAAAATTATGATGATGATGCTGATGATGATGGTGATGGTGATGGTGATGATGATGGTGTTGATCATTGATGATCATGCTGATGATGATGATGATGATGCTGATGGTGATGTTGATCAGTGCTGATGATGACGGTGATGCTGATGATGATGGTGGTTGAGGTGTTGGTAGTTGTGGTGGTTATGATGGTCCTGATGCTGGGGGTAATGATGATGCTGGCGGTGATGGCAATGACGCTGGGCACCGTCGTCCTGACAATGCTGAAGAGAATGCTGCGACGGCGAAGATGCGTCCTTCTCGCTCCCATTCCGCAACCCAATCGTAAGTTGAAGCTTGGGGTACTAAAGAGCACAGGAAAACAGGAAAACACACCTGTCATGGCTTGCAGGACAGATGTAACAACTAAGATGGCCAACAAACCAAATGGCCCACAAACCTAGCAGTCTGAGACTACTTGAGGGGTGCGCGATCTTGACCGCGATTCACACAAGAGGAGGGGGCAACATAACGGTTACGCCACAAGAGAAGCATCCGGCTTGCAAGGCGTGCAGTAGCTCCAAGGCCCATCCCATGTGACATCGTCTGGAAGTTCCTCCTGCCACGAACACCAATGCGTCCCAAATGACAAACAATCTCCTTCCCCTGAGCACGAGTTTGCTCCCTTGACACAACCCACATAAGACTGGCCCTTATACGTGAACTTGTCCACGCAACGGTCAGGTGCTCGGACAGAGTCGATGCACTTGTTTTTATGCCTGAGGTTCTCGTCAGCGTGGGCGACTAAGCCCGCTGCAGCAGCCTCGAGGGACTTGCCATTTGCATCGAAGTGCTCGCAACCTTTCGGCAAAAACGTATACTCTGAGACAAACTCCTCGAGCACAAATTCGTCGCTACCTGCAAAGTACTTCTGGAGAGCAGGCGCGAAATCGAATATGCATTCGCCCTTGTCGGGAAAGTCCTCATCGATTGGCCATCTGCACGGTGCCAGCATGGCAGTGGCGACGAAGAACAACATACGACACGCGTACACGCCGGGCGACTTCACCAGGGCGCGGTTGATGTCTGTGCCAACGACCCGGCCTTCCCGAAACTCTGTGGCGTTCTCGAGGTAGTCCACGATGCCTCCTGCGACAATCTCTAACGTCTTCTTGTGGCTGTAGTCGCGAGCCCACCAGGTAGCCTTGCCCATGGCGGTTCGCCTGCCGTGGACGGAGGGCCTGTCGAAGATGCCGACCAGCAGCGAGTAATCGATGGAGCCTATCTGAATAAGTCGCGTAAGGTCTAGGGCGAGGCTTGTCAACATATGACTCCACCTCTCGCGACGGTGGGTGGACAAAAAGTGTCCACACCCATCGCGCCAAGATGATGCGACGTCGAACTGCGTCGAACAAATATCCATAGCCACCGTCGCCCCTAACTCGAAGTTGACTGGGTTGGGTGCGAGGCAACGCGCGGGGGACAAAATATGGACACTCCAACGTCGGGTTTGGGGGTGAGGGGGGGGGAGACATATGTGCATTGCAATTGTCGTTGCCATCATGCGTGATTGTCTTGGCGCCGTCGGCGTGGACACTTTTTGTCCGGCCACCAGAGGGAGGAGCACCCCATGTTTCGGCGGTGGACAAACCCCCCTTTAGTAAACCTCCCCTTAGTGAAAACGACCTAGGGCCGAAATCGACGGACCTGGACCCACAAAAATGACGGCCGCGACGCCCTCTCGCGAACCGAAAACGGCCAATTCCTTAATCGACGTGTCAGGGTAGGAGGTCTGTCCACCTCCGACATGTTGGCTCAGCAAAGATCCCGAGATCCCTCACAGACACTATGGGGCCAGCATTGGCCACGAGGGCCCCCACAGGAGCATTTGCCCCCCCAGCCCAGGGGAAAAAAAAACCTTAAAAGGACACGAGTGAGGGATGAGGAGGAGACGCAGCAGCATTTGACGCCACCTCTCGTAGGGGATGCCCAGGTTCGCCTCCGTGGCATCTTTCGAGGAATCCGCCGCCCGCCGCACGCTTGGGACGTCGGGCGCATGGTATTCACACACACACACACACTCCTCTTCCTCCTTCTAGTCCTCCTCCTCCACCTCCTCCTCGTCCTCCTCCTCCTCGTCCTCCATGTTCTTGACAGGATGAGCACAAACACGAAGAGGATGAAACGAAGTACAGCCAGGAGGAAGGACCGCTCGGTAGCACAAGACAGGTCGGCACGCTCCGTACACGATGCATGATGTCAAACTCCTGAAATCTCATGGAGCTCGCTCTGACCGGGAATTCGAGGAAGGTCCAGCGCTGTGGCGACGAAGAGCTCATACGAAGCCGAAGAGGTGAAGAAGCGTGAGAATCCTGGATGTCGAATCATCATCCTTCCCGTCCGCATCCTGCAATAATAATTCTGGAGGGTATGGATAACCGCCGCCGCGAAATGCCACAAATCTGGCTTACCACGATTTGCCTTTCCTCCTCCATTCATGTGCCTCATGAATAACTCCTCCCTGTCGCGCCCCGAGGCTGGTCGAAAGCGCGGCCGGGCGTTTCGCCTGAGACTTCCTCTCCGTTCAGGATCCTGACACTTGATGTTTACAAAAAATAACGGATGGGATGGAGGGCGGGTGGTTTTCAAGATGCAGCTTTCGCCTTAGCGCCGCAAAACTTCGTCGTGGAAAATGGCAAAAGCTTCACCGGGTTGAAGGCGGGCGGTTTTAAAATGAGGCTCTCGCCTTAGCGCCACATTCGTCTAAACCTTGCAAGATGATCACAGGTTCCCATGGTGCGCACCAACAACGGTGCGTCGCAACAGACAGGTTCATTCGTGGCATTGAAGTTCCAAGAATGGTGTTTTGGCACGCTTCGGGGTCTTCCAACGGTTGTCGCCCAACGGAGCAAGTCCTTCAGCGGACATGAACTATTGTAGGGGCATGTAAAGAGGAAGCTTGGAGGGCGTATTCCAACATCGTTGATGAGTCAAGGGTTTGCACTGGTCCTCCTCCTCATCATCATCCTTCTTCTCCTCCTTCTCCTCCTCCTCCTCCTCCTCCTCGCTCCACCTCCTCCTCCTCCGCCTCCTCCTCCTCCTCATCCTCCTCAACCTCCTCCCTCCTCCTCCTCTCTCCTCTCCTCCTCCATCTCCTCCTCCACCTTCCTCCTCCTCCACCTCCCCCTCCTCCTCTTCCACATCGATCGTCCACCTCCTTCTCCTCCTTCTCCTCCCCCTCCTCCCCCTCCTCCCCCTCCTCCCCTCCTCCTCCCCCCTCATCCTCCTCCTCCTCCTTCTCCTCCTCCTCCTCTCCTTCTCCTCCTGCTCCTGCTCCTCCTCCTCCTCCTCCTCCTCCTCCTCCTCCTCCTCCGCCTCCTCCTCCTCCTCCTCCTCCTCCTCCTCCTCCTCCTTCTCCTCCTCCTCCTTGATCCTCCTCCTCCCCACCCTGCCTCCCCGTCGATCCTCCTCGATATGCCTCCTCGATCCTTCTCCGTGGTCCCCCGTCGACCTCGCCAGGCGCCGCTTTGGCGGTCTGTCCCAGGCGGTCCGTGTCCGCGCCACACTTTCGGAGCGGCGGGCGCGGCGGGCGCGGCCACGCTAGGCGTCGGCTGCTCCTCCCACCCCAGAAGCCTCTCCGGGCTCTCGCTCGCAGGAGGTGCCCTTGGGAGGAGGAGGGATCATTGAGTATCGTTCAACCGATCCCTATCCTCCTCCTCCCCCTCCTCCTCCTCCCACCCGTTTCCTTCCCCCGCGCACTGTAGCAGACCCCGCGCTGCGCTGGGGCAAAGCACTCAGCGTACGTTCTCCAAGGCATTGCAGGGGCGCGCTTTGCACGCTAATTATTCGAAACGTTGTGGTGCACATGTGTTAGACCCTGCCATCCTTGCCGATGGGCCGTCCAGGCGCGGCTTTGTGTGCGATCCCTATCCTCACGGGCGTGGCCGGGGCCCCAGTGGCCGATTTACCCCGCAGATGGGGATATAGGCTGTTCCCTTCGGGTTTCGGTTGGTATATCCCCACCTGTGGTGGTGGTGGTGGTGGTGGTGGTGGTGGTGGTGGTGGTGGTGGTGGTGGTGGTGGTGGTGGTGGTGGTGGTGGTGGTGGTGGTGGTGGTGGTGGTGGTGGTGGTGGTGGTGGTCGAATGGTGGAATGGTGGAATGGTGGAATGGTGGAATGGTGGAGTGGTGGAATGGTGGAATGGTGGAATGGTGGGGATAGGGACCGGGATGGGGATGGGGATCGGTTAAGTTCAACAATACTGAATTGCGGGGGGGAAAGTTTCGGGCTTTTCGGACTTGTTCGTCTTTTCTCAGCTTTAGGACTTCTAGTCTGCTCTCAAGACTGAATTATCGAATTATCGAGGCTTTAGGACTGAACTATCGAGGCTAAATGAATTTTCGAGGCTTTAGGCATCCGGACTCTTTCGGACTGAATTATCAAGGCTTTAGGACTTGTTCGTCTGTTCTCAATGGTGTTCCAGTCTCTGGGTGCCTCCCAGCGGCTGCGCCTCGCCGAGAGCGCTCCAGGGGGGGGGGCCCAGATCGTCCCGAGCGGTTGCTGGAGACCAGAGCTGTGGCCAAAAGACCAGAGTGGCCATAGTTGTGGATGCCATGACAATGGACACTCTAACGATCCGATCATTGAATTCAAGATGTGTTTAAGGTGTGTAAAACATGTTTCAAAAACGTTTCAAAGATGTGTTAACCTATTTAAAGCATGTTTGAAATTATTTGGCAGCATGCTTCCTCGCCATTCATCGACTTCCACATCTATAGGCGAGTGGGCACCGAATCACAGGGAGATGCTCCGAAACCATAACTTAGCACTGGGCCGCTGCGTGCCCGGATCCGCAGCGGGCCCTCCAGAGTCGGCATGCCGAGCACGCGAGTCGTCGGGGGGGAGGAGGAGGAAGGGGGGGGGGAGGGAGCAGAGGGAGGTGGCACGCCTGGCCTCGGAGGAGGCCCGTGCTCGAGAGGAGCAGGTGGTGGGTCCGCAGGAGGGCACTGCGCGCCCAGACGTCCACTCGCAGTCAGAAAAAGACCCGGTGGCGCATCAACGAGGATCGACAAGACCAGATCGGCACACGTGGCACCACGCCCGGACGTGTCGGATTCGATCGCACGCGGCCGGACCGCACCTGCCCACAGCACGCAGGGCCACTGACTCGAAAACCGAAGGGTGGCCTGGTCGCTGCACGGGCCGGCGAGGGCATGCAAACCATCTCGGATGCGTGCAGCGGTGGCTGGAAGCCCACGGCCTGTGGCGAGGGTCAGCATGGGCCGAGAGGCAGGGCTCGAGCTAAGCAGTGTTTTCGGTCTCGCTGTGTGTTCGGTCTTCCTCGCTCTGTCTTCGCTCCGCCTCTGCTGCAGAGCGACATCAAAGTGGAAAGGGTCTACGACATCGCCAATTCACCCGTGCAGCTCGAGACCCGCAGAAATGCAAGAGTGTCCTCGGATACCCCTGGAAAGCTACTCCAGATTTCGTAATAAAAGGGAGGGGGTCTCATTTCGGGGGGGGGTCTCTTCCAGGCTATCCTGGAGGGCCTTGGGGGGGTCTGGGGACGATGTCTTGGAGGGTTCTCCCACGGGGGGGGGTCTGAAGTGGCTTGTCTTGGAGGGTCCAGACCCCCTCCCTTTTATCACGAGATCTGGAGTACTCGCCTCTCTGACCCTTATTTGGCCGCAGGCCCCGCAGGTCGGGCCACTCGGGCTCCGCGCGCTGCGCCGCCGCCCCCCACGAGGCAGCAGCTGCTCGGGCACGGGCCCAGGAGCGCCGAGCGTGGGGCGCGGCTGCCTTCACGCCCCCGGTGAGTGGCCCGCATGGATCATCGCTCGGACGTCCAATCCCCGTGCATGTGTTCGATCTCGCGCCTGCTTGTCTGGCTCGGTGATCCAGGATGTGAGCGTTTTCTGATTCGGCGTTTCGACACTGGGCGGAAGGGGGGGGGGGGAGGTGTGGCTCCTGACCTCTGCTTAATGCGACTGTTTGCAACAGTACGTCCGATGGAGGAGACTCCAACTGCTTGAAACAGGCGCCAAAAACAGCCAAGACCTACTCCATAGGTGGGGGGAGGGGAGGGTGCGAGGGCCCGCGCCGATCGGCAAAGCAGCGAATAAAAAACGATCACGATGCTCTTCGATGGCCCTCGCCGTGGAAAAATGCACACGTCCGAGCGATGCCGAGCTGCGAGTGAGTAGTCTGCACGGATCTCAAGAGGCGCCGCAGCGGCATCGGTGTTTCTCTTGGGGGGGAGGGCGGGCCGTGCTGCGCCGGCGCAGCATGGCAAGTACGACACGCGCTGGCACGCGCGAGCGTGGGCATACATACAGTCGGCCCGTATCAGAAGGACGCGCGATCAGGATGCAAGGGCCTTGGATTGAGAGATGCAAAAACGCCCCTACCCTGGGTTACAAGCGCGTGGTCCGTAAACCTCCTGGAAGCTCCCGAAGGCCAGAGAGCCGCCAGGACACCGCGCGACACGCGCGATATGCAGGGTTCACCACGTGAGCCCACAGGAGGTTCGGCGCACAGCGCCTCGTAAACCAGGGTAGGGGCGTTTTTGACGCCCTTGATTGGACGCCCATTCCGAAGCTTTTCGAGCGGGGCGCGGCCAACGCAAGTGGCCAAGGATGGACAGAGGAGGGAAGGATGCAAGGGTACCCTTGGGAAGGTTGCCCATCCTGACTGTGCGGGTAGACTGTACAGTCGAAGCGCTGTCAACTGGAACCCCAAATAAGGAACGAGGCTCCTGTTTCCATAAGTTGACCATCAATATAGAAAACCTTCGAAACACTGAGCCCCTCCCCAACGAAAAAGGACACCTTCTTCAGCGGTCCGACTGCACGAGCGCTGGCCACCTCCTGCGGAGGTTCAAAAGAGCACAAGGGGAAAAAACACGTCCGATGAAAGAGAGGTCCATCGACCGTGTGTCGGGGTTCGGGGGCATGGCGTCATGGCGCATGCCTTACAGATAGTCAGCAATCCAATTCGGGTCACGGCGCATGCCATCGTACTTGAAGTAACGCAACACCGGCACGCCCTTGATATCATACAATATTGGCTCTACGTCGTAGTCCGAATCGCTGTTCCCATGAAGGGCATTCGCTTCCAGGCCCCAGGTCTTGCCGTAGGCTTGCCACACATGCCCGAAGGGAACTATGTAGCTCCGGTCGCGCTCCCAGAGCTCGCCCCGCCTCTCCCTGCCGAAGTTCCGCCTCCAGAAGTCGTGCTCCCACTCGTGCAGAGACTTGACCATGACTCTGTACTTGAGGGGCCCCGTCGGGCTCAGCGTGTACAAGTCGCTCCCGCCCTTGGTGTCCGGGTTCATTGCGTCGAACCTGACCTCCACGGTCCCCTTTGGGGGGCGGCCCGCTCACACACCTCCGGCATCTCCGGCACTCTCGCCACACGACCCCCCGGGAGCTCCCCGCACTCCCCACGGGACAGTCCCTCGTCCCAGGCTGCTTTTGCCACCCCCGTCCACAGCAGGGGGCCCTTGCTATGCGTCTGACGGCCCCGCCCCCTTACTCGCTCACTCACGCCCGCCTCCCCCTCCTTCATTCACACTCAGAGGACGAGTCAAAGACGGAAGGGGAAGAGAAGGACGAGAAAGAAGAACGAGCGGGGCGGAAGGAGCACACGGAAGACGAGGGGATGCAGGAGGAGATGCCAACAACCTCCTTGATCTTCTGGTTCTTCCGCTCCGAGCAAAGCGCAGTGAGCTGCTCCAGAATCTCC